ACACTCAGTTCTACTGATGGTCCCTCCCTCCAAATCTGTCCACTTCACCTTCCCCACTGGCAGCAGCGTAACCCAAGCCCAAACCCTCAATGATTTCACAACAGCAGTTGGGATGCAACATCAAATTGTCACTGTATCTTACCCAAGTCACTGTCTCCATGCCCCGTGACCAGCAGCCATCATAGCTGGCATCCTGCTTCTCTCACAGCCAGCCTGTCTTTTCTTTAGGACCTTCATACATGTTTTATCTTCTGCCTGGAATATTTTCTCACCTCCAATCCCTTCTCTCATACCTTCATCTGGTCAACTCCAGCTGATCCTTCAGATCACATGTTAAATGCCACTTTCTCAGGGGACAATCCTGGCCTGTTAATCCTCACCAGCTTCTCCGTGGACATCCCAGCTCCTTGATCATATACCCTCACAGGCCTGGTAACCCCTCACGGCACCCAACACAGAGCCTCCCACCCAGGCAGGGGCTGCAACAGTTCTGCTTGACCTCAGGGTCCAGGACAGAGTCTCCTACCACATGGCAACTGCCACCAAGCATCCAACAGCACAGGGAAGAATGCAACCCAAGTAACACAGCAAAACATCCGTGTGTACTTAATAACAAAGAGGATGCTCTTCAAGTCATTGGTTGTTATTAACTGCAACTCAGTGCCCCCGCACCCCATTCCCAAATTCTTCAGAAACAACAACGAAAGACTCAGCATGCCCTCTGAGCTGAAAACGCTCAACGCAAACAGCAGACACCTTGTCTGAAGCCCTACCATCAGGCTATATTTCATAAGAGCCTTCCCACTCTCTTTCAGCATTTAAGCAGTAACAACAACAAAATAAAAGAAGTACACACTCCAGTCTGGCAGGCTCGGCTCTTCGGGATTCAGGCAGCTTTCTCATCCCACACCTCCGTGCTCATTACACAACAAAACCCATAAGACCCAGAACCGCTAGAAATCCACCCCAAGGTAAAAACTCCACGTCTACTTCAAAAGGAAACCCCCAAGACACAATGGTAGGAACTTCTGAAGCCTTTTGCCATTTTGTAAGACACATACTATACCAAAATACCACCACTTTGGGTACAGAATCTTCTTTTGCTGGGTACAAAGGAAGTTAAATGAAAGTCTCTGTATAGCAAAGACACCTGGGGTGGTTTCCAGAGAGGGGCTCCTCATAGCGGCCCTGGGGGTGGGTTGGCCAAGACTCAAACACCACCACTTAGCACAGCCCAGCTGCCTGGCACTCGTTTTGGAAGAAAGCATTTAAAAAAGAGCAGGGAATTAAAAATATAAACACCACAGAGAAAGAAACAGGAGCGACTTCTACAAATCAGAATATGGGGAGGCTGAGGAAAGGAGAGGATCCTGGCTCTTGTGACTTTAGAAAGTTCATGAATTTCTGTGGGAGTAAGGAAGAAGAGAAATCCAAGGGAGAGGGAGAGAGAGACAGATCTGTTGTATAAATTCCTATTTTTTGAACAGTCAAAAAAAAAAATTAAAAACCATCACCCTTGGGGGATCATTTCTACTCTATTTTGAGCACAGAGGAGGAGCCATCAGATTATAATAAACAAGATGCTGTATCAGTTACAGAAACTAAACTTTTGGGGGCTTGCTTCTTCATATAAACATTATTCGATCAACTGAACTCCACTTGTTAAGAACATTCATTCTATGCATCCTTTTTTTTTTTTTTTTTACAATGTGGTAACCCACATACCACATGAGAAAAAATCCAATCAGATTAAAATATGCCAACAAAACGTTTTAAATTCCCATCTGAAAATTCTACCCCCACAAGTACTACGGCAAGTTATTTTCCTAGCAACCTGTGATAGCTATAGTCCCTAGTGATTACTAACAAACGCTGAACGAACACTTCTCTAGTTTCAAAATAAAAACATTAGAAGTAATTATGAAACAGCCTGGCACCGAAATTACAATAAATCTAAATTTCAGAGAAATTAGGAAGCAATCCTCAGACAATTATTTTGAAACAGCTCTGATGAAACACTGTGATGTGACAAACTTTTATTCAAGAGAAAGAAAAACAAGAAAGTAAGGAAGAGCCCAGTGTCTGGAGAAAAGTTAGCCATTCATCAGAGAATCTGAAGGAGAACCAGAGTCTCCTGGCCAATGCTGAGCTATACAAAGACCCAAAGGATACATCATCTCCTGGCCAATGCTGAACTATACAAAGACCCAAATGATACATCAGCCACAATCCAGAATGTTCCCTGTATAAATACAGACACCCTGTACCTGCCAAGCTGGTTTGGGCTGACATACTGCCCTGCGTTCAATGAAAAGGTGATCATAAGTTTATACTCCCAAGGTACACGACTCCTCAATCCCCCAAAACTATATGTGACCCAGAGGTCAACAACCTTCAGACTTCCTTCCCCCTACCTTTCCATTCTCCTACTAACTTCCTCCCCAACCCCAATACCCCTTCCTCCTCAGTCCTGGTGTCAGGTGAAGACTGCAGAAATGCACAATGACAGGGCTGACTCATAATATTCCATGGCCACAAGCATTAAGTATTTCATTTGGTTTCCTTTTCACCCAAGTTCATGGCTTTTCTCCTCTCTCCAGCTCCCAAAGCCCACTCTTCACCACCAACCCACCGTATAACCTCTATGCAGTATTGCTCCTAGGCCCCCAGGAACAGAGAAAAGAAGATCGGATTACAGCTGCCAGCTGCGGCCTTTATCGACAAGGGTCTCCCCCAGAAGGGTGGGGTGGGCTCCACAGTGATTGCTTTGGTCAACATGCCTCCTAAACCACAGCAAAGGAAAAAGAAACCCAAGTCCCTTCACTGCGCCCCTCGTCAAAATCCACATCGGCTCTGCAAAAATGTTTTACCAGCTCCTCGGATTGTTAACTCGTACACGTGAAAACAAAGTGCCTAGGGCCTAAGTTGTAGCAACTGCTCCTATGGGATCTGGGGAGTCAGAGGGACAGAGGGAAGAAGGGCAATCATTGACCTCTCTCCTAAAGGACAGATCCCACTCCTGCACGGGGGGCAACACGTGGACCTCCAGGTCACACCCACCACGGGGCTGCGGCCCCTCTGGACCACTTCTAAGAAATGCGTCTTCTCTCCAGACTCAAAGAGAGACACACCTCCAAGAGACTTTAAAGATAGCGTCCCTTTCCTACACTTCCCACCCCACCCCCAAAACGAAATGGGTGACATCTGCCCAGCACTTCCAAAAGCAGAAAAATAAATTTCAAACCTAGACCCCCATTGGGAAATTCAGGGAGGCAGGAAGAATGAAACAGACTGGCTTCCTCACTGTACCCTCAAGGACTTGTAAAACAATCTTTGTGTATTGTTAAAATATGGTGTTTTTTTTTCATGGCATTCATTTTTCCGGGAGAAACCTACATGAGAACCCCAAGCCAACAACTTCTTTATGCCTATGACACTGTCTTTGACAGTGAGCCAATTTAGAGAAAGCAAAACAGAACAAGTCACAGAGAGTTACTTTTGACTCCCTTAGGAGGGAACAGTCCACTGGGCCCCAAAAAGAGAGCTGAGAACTGGGCCCAGTTCCCACTCTGGCCGCTAACACAGCGTGTGACGTTGGGCAATTCACTTAAGGCATCTCTGGACCCGTTTCCTTTTCTGAGAGCAGGTAGGACCTAGCTGATCTAAGGTTACTTCCAGCCCTGAAATCTCAGCATTGTAAGAGCATGAGTGATTATGAGCATCTGTTTTATCGAGGGACTGGAGGAAGGAGGAAGCTTCTGGGAAATGTCAACCTTCTTTCTATGTGCCTCATTTATAATATAAGAATTCATAAGACCTTTTCACAAACGATGACTCAAAGAAGTGGTTTTACAGAAATCAATTATTTTGTGAGATATACATACATACATATATATATTTAATATTCATATAACAGAGGGAAAACTCATTAAATAATATATGCTCAATTACAACAAGCTACAAAATAAGGAGGCAGTTAGCCTGAAATTTGACACAATGTATCTTAAGATTTTTCTACTTAAGAAAATTATTTTGCCATTTTTAGAAATTAAAAGTAACACAGAGGCAAAATATATTAATGGATAACATTTTGTGATACTTAAATAAAATATACATGAATTGTTTCATGCTTTGCATAATTCTACCTGTCGTGAATTCATTATAAAAATATATCTTCCATTAATTATTTCAAAAGTATGAAGTCCAGCTCATGATAGGAATATATAGAAGAAAATATTCTAATAAGGCCGAGTTATCTTCTCAAGAGGTTAATTTATAAACTCCACTTTCAGAGTCTACAAAATCCTGAGAAAGTACATTAAAAATATATGTAGACACATACTTCATGTTGTAGTCTCTTAGTAGTACAAACAAATGTTTTCTGTGTTAAACCCACACACTTTCACAGCCAGGGATGTACACATCAAATTTAATTTAAGCCTTTCCAAGTTCATTTGTGCTCTGCGCTTCCAATCAACCAGCCCAGATGAAATCTTTCTGATGTTAGTCTAGATTATTCCTTTCCAATAATTAGGATAAATTGGTGAGTGTGTTGAGGGGAGGGGATGAGGGGAATAAGATTGGAAAGTCTTAAATTCGGGATTTCCCTTTTGAGTTTCCTAATTCTCTGCTCTGCAACTCACCTCCCCTAAATGACTTTTTCAGCAAACATTTGGGTACCTTTTTTTAGTTGCTTTAATACCATTTCCAATCTTCCCCACACCATGGTGATTGTGCCCTATTAACTGGAACCCACAAAACTAGATTCTAACCCAATACTAGGTGAAAAGGGTAGTGGGAACATTTCCAGGTAGATACCAATCATTAAGGTCCAATAGCAAAATAACAAGTGCCTTCTAGATACAAACCATATCCAAGAATATGCCCCCAAAAAACTATTTTTAACAAAAGAGAAACTGATAAACAAGGTCTGTTATCAACAAAAGAACATTTTACCTCCCCACCGTAAAAGAAGCAAACATCTCTGCAAGGTCACTTACAACGATGTGGGCTGGCGACGGAGAGCGAGCATCCTTGAGGGCTTGTCTGCTCTGGAGGGTCCCCGCCTGGACATCAAGTAGTGGCCATTTCATCTGAAGATACTGGAAATAGCAAACAAAACAAACATGGAAAATGAATTTAGAAAAGAAATGTGAAACAGCTACCCCAAGAGCTTTAGGATACATGACACACAGATCAGAAACTGCAAAACTTAAAAATGTGCAAATAAAGACACCAAAAAACGTGAAAGCAAGCAAATCAGAGGGGCAACGACAACAGAAAGTCATGCAACGCTGACAGGTTCTTCCTTGGAGTTCATGTTCAACAGGTACATGCGTGGAGCATCAATGTTACTAGCAGTTAGTTCTGTCTTTGTATTCAAACTACATGGCCTCAGATAAAATGGTATGACTGATACTACCTCATTTGGAGAACACCAGTAAGGGAGAGGGGAGAGGGAAGAAGAGAAGAGAGACCTCTCTTCTAAAGAAATAAAGCTAATGAAATCTAAAGTCATGGATACCCTACTCAGTCATTTCGTTGTTTGCAACTCTTTGCAACCTCATGGTCTGTGTAGCCTTCCAGGCTCTTCTGCCCATGGAATGGAATTTTCCAGGCAAGAATACTGGTGTGGGGTGCCATTTCCTACTCCAACAGATCTTCCTGACCCAGGGATCGAACCCAAGTCTCTTATGTCTCCTACGTTGGTAGGCAGGTTCTTTACTACTAGCGTCACCTGCGAAGTCAACAGACGTGCCCAAGGAGACCATCAATTCCAAATCTGCTCTTTCAACAACCTTCATTTCTAAAATGTCATCATCCTTCACCTTCAAGAAAGCTGAGTATATATGTGCAGCTGTCCTTTACTAGAAGTTACTCGAGTAAGGTGAGCATGGAATTCCTCATCCAATTCCAAAGCTTGTAAGACAAAAAGTATTTCTCCATTAAGAGACGCACAGACAGGGTGCAATGCAATTTCTACATTCACAAAAGGTCATAGAAATTCTTAAATAACACACGCCTTACCACATGGAGAAAAACAAAGGTATACACCAAATGGGTCCTTTTCTATCCTTCTCTGAGATACAAAATGAACATATGACATTACAGCAAGAGCACTGCTTCTGTCCAAAGTGACACCTCACCTTTCAGAGAACAATCCCTTGATCCAGCTCCTCATCATGTATATGGGGGAGGGAGGCAGCCTGTCTAGTCACAGAGATATTTAACACACATGTAAGCAACTTGCAGGCATCTGACTTTTGTTGGTGACTTTATATCAGTTTCACTTCACAAACAAGCAAAACTTAAAGACACGATGCTAAGATTTTTAACAAGGACGTCAACACTACCCTTTGTACCTCCAAAGGTCAATTGGTGAAGGCGCCATCTTGATCATTCCAGAGGCTAGTTTTATTACTAATTCTATAGAAACTTTTACTTAAGGAATGCAGATTAAAGCTTGTCTCATGCACAGACACGAAGCATCATGTGTTTCCTCAGAGAACCTAGGCACATGTGAGGGGGCCAACTCACCACAGGTAAGTCAGGACAGAACGTGGCGAGACTCTGACAGGGACGTGGGGAAGGTGGCCAGGGAATGCCAGGAGAGAAGGTGCATTTCTGAGGAAAGAGACTAAGGTGAGGAAGACTGAACAGAGGAGGTCTTGTCAAGTCAGAAGGACTCAGACAGGAAGAAAAAGGGACAGCAAAGGGAAGTCCAGAAAGAAACAGGGTTTGCTCCACTCCCACATGGGATGCTAACAGCCAAAACTACCCACAAGCTTTTCCATGGGTTCCTCAAATACATGACTGTTCCAGCAAGTTAAAACCAAATTTGGTGATACCTAAAGCTGGAAGACCTAACCCGGGAGCTACCTGCCAAACTGAGTTGTCATTTACCCGGCCGAGATCTAGACGGAGTTAGAGCAACTTCTGCCACTTCAGACCTTTCACCTAGAAGCCTCCTGTGGTGAGGAAATTTGGTTACTAGTTCTGGTAACTCACCACAAGACCTTCCGGTTTCTCATCTATTACTGAAGTTGTCAGCTATAAAGGGAATGGGTGAGGGGCTGTCCCAAGCACCAAGGAACTTCTAGGATTCTGGGCCCCCAGACAGGAAATGTCAGCAGGCACACCCCACCCAGTGACCCTTTTAATTAAACCATTTCCAAACATTTGTCCGGAAGCAACATCATCCCAAATTAAGAGCCACTGAAGTAAATGTTTCCATGGTCTCCCTCAGGCCTATAACCCGAGCCAGCGGGCTATGGGAGTCTCTTCTGCCTGGTCTCACCCTTACTTCTTCCCATTCTCACTTGCCACATAAATATATGGGCCTCATTGGTCAAAACCACTCAATAGAGTCATTTCCTTGAGGCCAACCAAAATGGACATCCGCCAACACTCACCTCTTCATCACATAAAAAGCCTGTGAAGAAAAATGCCAAGCCAAGTCGCCACACACCTCCACCTCCCTCTGCCTTCAGTCGAGAGGGCTGGATTCACAGATGAGTTTCTGGCCATCTGCAAAAACTGATCTGATTGTATCCAAATACCAGCTCCCCAGATTGAGGAAATGTAGGCTTTGTTGGAGGTGACAGGCCAGCCCTAAGGACCCCACCCAAGAATGATCATACCCGTAATGCAATATTAATACGGAGACTTATAATTCTTACTTTACATAAAAGCTTCATTGTGAGCCACATCCAATCTCCGCAGGCTACCTGCACCACATATTTTTATGAGCCTACATTTCAGCGCTCCGAGCCTACAATACACATAATTTTCAATTATGTTAGGGCAGCCCAGGATCACTGCCTATATAACATTACTGGTTGGAGGAAATGAGACTCGGCCCTGCTGCCCAGAGAGAGCTAACCAGATCCAGATGGTGGGAAAGACAGCCCAGGTCCCGCCGACTCGTAGCCACTCTGCAGTGACAGCCCCAACCTCTCCATCCCGCTGTAACTCGATCCCACAGAACGGCTGGGTCCCCACGAGGCTGTGCCCATCACCTGGGCCTTGACTGGCACTCAGGCTGACGAGGTTCCTTTTGGGGAAACAAGTATTAGGCCAGGAGTTTTTAAAGGAAGTCATTAACCTCCTGCAAAAGTGATGGGTTTCCCAGGTTCCTTCATCTTCTACAATTGGTCCTTATTAATAGGGAAAATAAATAAATAAAGAGAAGAAAAAGGAAATTAGGTACTATTATAGCCTCGAGGAAAATCTTTTCCTTCCTGGAGACATGAAGCAGCAGGAAATTCTATTCTGTTGGGTCCTAAAGGAAGGCCTGAAGGGGGAGTCATCTCAGACTGACGGAAGGGCTGGATCACCACGCCACGTTTTCCCAACAGTTCAACTTCGGTTTTATATCCTTTTGGGGAAGGGAAAAAAAAAGTTCCCACCATCCCACTATAAAAACAACACTGGGCTCCAGGCTCCCTTCCTTTTGGGCTGCTCAACGTGGAAATTATGAATTGCCTACAAAAACATTAAACTTTTCAACAAACTGCAATCAAACGGGGCTGTGGGAATTCCTGCATTGAAAACTGTTGAAATGGAGTCTACTCGACTTTCATTTTGTAAAAATAAATAAATAAGTAAATAGGGCCATCTTGGCTTAAGCATTTCACCCTTTGTTTAATAATAATGTTCTGGTCATGGCCCATTAGAGTTTCCCGCCCGTCCCCCCACCCCCTAATCACATTTTATGACATATCTCAGGGAGCTTAAGTTAAGCTTTGGACTTGTGGGCAAAGTCTTGAATATATATACACACCACCAATGGCCTGAAAGGAATCAAGGTGGTTTAAAGGCTTGTTGAATTGTCAGCGAAAAAAAGAAAAAGGTACACAGCTCTAATTTCTCCTCCTCCACCCTCCCCAATAAAAAAAGGAAAAGCAAAGGCAAATGGGGAAGGTCTTCGAAATCAAAAGCTACCTCCAGTATCTATGTTCCTGGTGATGAGTAGGTACTCAAGTGGGCCTGATAGGATCTGCTTCCAAAAAGGCATCCCCGTTCCCCATGAGTCCCAATTCCATGACAAAGATGGCGAGGAGAGGCTGCGTTCACCACTCCCTTCCACTGAAGGGGAACTCGCTTCCAATGGATGGGCACATGGAGACCACCCCTTATTTGTTCAAGGCAAGGTTGGCAAATTTCTGCAAAGCAGTGTGTGTGTGTGCACGCACGTGCTCAGTCATGTCCAACTCTTTGTGACCTCCTGGACTGTAGCCCTCCAGGCTCTTCTGTCCATGGAATTTCCCAGGCAAGAATACTGGAGTGGGTTGCCATTTCCTTCTCCAGGGCATCTTCCTGACCCAGGGATCGAACCTGGGTCTCTTGAGTCTCTGACATCAGCAGGCGGATTCTTTACCACTGTACCATCTGGGAAGCCCTCTCCTATAAAGTGCCTGATGATAAACACCTTAAAGTTGGTAGCTACACTCTGCTGTAGCTACAAAAGCCACTACAGGCAATAATACATGTATGTGTTATGTCATGGCTATGTTCCAACAAAGCTTTGTTTACAGATGCCGACATGTGAACGTACTGTGATTTTCCTGGGTCAGGAAATATTATTCTCCTTTTGATTTTTTTCGACCATTTAAAAATAATGAAAACTGTTCTCAGCTCACAGGCTGTACAAAAGGTGGCAGGCAGGACAGCTTTCTCCTGCGGGCTGCAGTTTGCCATCCCTAGCTTAGTGGCTGAGTGTGCAGATACCTGAATCATGTCAGACAGAACACATTCCTTCACTGGGTCTTAAAGGCAGACAGTCACACGCCACCACATAGAAAAGCACGTTCAGTGGCCCAAAAGCAACGATATGGATGAAGTGTCACTGGCAGACTCAAGTTGGAGGGGAAAAAGCTTGGAAAAGCATCTGAGCTCTCTGGCTGTGACTCCCAGTCACAAGGTCCAACCACTAGACCACAGTCTCAACGGGAAGAACCATCCCTCCTTCCAAAATGGAAGTCTGAAAAGCCCTGAGCAATTCTGACTGGAAAAGGTCCACGTGTCCAGATGTTCTCACCCAGTTCCCGGGAGACCGTGGCGACGCATCACATGTCAGGAGTCACCACAGAAGAGCAGGGGG